AATAAAATTACCATTTAACCTTGAGAAAATATTGCTGGGCTCATCTACGCTATTCATAATAGCACTACTGTTATGGTGTTATACATTCAACTAGTAAAATGTGAGCCAACAATAAGGCCCCACATCAACTAGTTAAGAAATTAAAGGCTGTGTCTTCACAATCTGGAAGTTGTGGGTTCGAGTTTTTTTAAATGATGGTCTTTTTTAGATATCTATTTATTTTTTGTGTAATGCGCGTAAATATTTTTTTAACAGTAAAAGATAAGTTTTTTCATTTAAAGTACAAGGACTATTATAATTTATTCATCGATTATATTCTTCTCACAGCTAATAATTGTTTACCTCTACAACCTCACTTTCTTTTTTGTATTTATCTCATTTACCTTATTTTATGTATTTTTTTTTGGATTTATTATTCAATCTGTAAGATCGCCCAGCTCTTATTTTTAGCTTTTACCCATTTTCATGATCTATCATTCCTTTAATTAGATTATTTGCTTTAGCTTTTAATAAAAAAATATTATTATCTGTTATTAGCTTTAATCAAACTAATTAAATATTTTAAATTATAAATCGTAATAGTTATCAATTATATATTAATAATCATGTATCACTTGTATTTAAACAATAAATCGAAATAACCACAATGTATGTGAGTAAATATTTAAATGTGTTTTGGAGTTTGGAAAAAAAAAATCAAAAGAAAGAGCAAAATATGAATTTATCAATAAAGTCTTGGCTTAAAACCAAAATAAATAAGTGAAGTCTTTAGTTTTTAAGGCGCTGTTAATTACCCATAGGTTCTATGGAGTTCTAATGCTCTTAGGCTTAGTGTAAATTTAAGTTGGTTTTGTTTAATTTATAATTTTGTATATTGATTAATTGGTATCATGAATTTTAATGTCTTGATTAATTAATTTTTACCTATTAGATTATAATATCTTAATTGTATATTGGACTCATAAAAAATGCAATAACTTTAATTTTTTTTAATTGTATAACAAAAAATAAGCATTTTTTATTTATTGACTAACTCCATTCATAAGTTATGTAATTTAAATTCAAAATTTTTTACTTTTATTAAAAAAAATTATTACTGAATTATTTATATCCTTAGCATGTGACTTTAATTTTCATCCAATAAAATTAACTATTAATTTAAATCTATCTCAATGAAACAAAAATCTGTAGTCCATCCCTGACTTCAAAACTTTGTTTTGATTCTGCTCAGGTAATTGTGATGTTAAATTCCCACCCTTGAAGCGATTGAGTATAATAAACTGCCCAGAATTGAGGGGAGTCATGGTTAAATCTAGGAGCACCAATGAAGCAGATGACGCACAGCCTTCTTCAATGAACAAGTAAATTTCTTTACACCTCTTGACTTGCAAGTTTTGGCTTACCCACCGGAATTAATTATCCTTATCCCCTTCACTCGCTGGCATGGATTATGCAGGTTAAATTTCCCAGCGTGGAAAGCTTGACTCTCTCCGATTTGAAAAACTTACAAATCATATGGCACAACCGACTATCTCCAGATTCCTTTTGCAAACTCAAAGAGTTGGATGTTAGATGTTGTGACAATTTAATGACAATTTTTACAAAAGATACGCTGGGAAGTTTCCTTAAGTCCATAGAGAAGTTAGCAATTTTGAATTGTGCTTCAGTAGAAGAGTTGTTTAAGGTGGGAGAGATAAACCTTAAAGAATTAGTACAGACCCAGCTGAGAAATTTGTCGATTGATGATCTACCGAGTTTGAAGCATGTGTGGGATAAGGATCCCGAAGGAATTCTAACTTTTCATAGTCTGGAAGCGGTGATTGTTTCGAGATGTTGGAGTATCAAAAACGTGTTTCCAGCTTCAGTAGCTAGAAGCCTTAAACAACTCCAAAAGCTAAAACTAGATAATTGCGGAGTGGAGGAAATCGTTGCAATGGGACGTAAAGAAATAGATGCGGTGGTTAAGTTTGTGTTTCCTCAACTGTCTGATCTCAAACTTATGCGGTTGCGAAGACTAAGATATTTTTACCCAAGAAAACACACAACGCTTTGGTCAAAATTAAAAAAGTTGGATGTTTTTTACTGTAATCGTGCTGATGAAATGGAGATAAGAAATGGGCAGGGTGGACCCGATTTCCCCATTGGGCAGCCATTTCTCAACATGGAAGAGGTATGAGTCACGTTATTACTTTTAGTTTTCAGATTAATAATACTTATTTTAAAAGAAAAAAGTATTGTGCTTAAATTATTAAAAATGGATAAATTTTATGTTATTGGAGGTTACTCTTTCATTTAATAGTTCTTACTTTTAGGACTGCAAATTAGAGCACTCATTTCAACATGTTTAGCAAAATGCAGAAAAGATACGTTAAATTACAAAAATATAGGGACGAAATATAGGGATCACCTACATCAAAAAAGTTACCGATTAAAAAAAAAAAAAGGAACTACTACTTGGCAACCTCAAACTGTAATTCTTTTGGAAAAAATTAAAATTTAATTTATAAAATTTTAAAAAGAGTAATGAACTGCGAGACGAATTTGCAGAACGATTTTAGGGGACGACAAGTGAAGCAGTCCCAACAGCAATTATCAATTTGACCCTGTTTTCACTTGTCGTCCCTCAAAATCGTCTCGCAAATTCGTCCTGTAGATCATTACTAAAAAAAAAAAAGGAACTTCTACTTGGCAACCTCAAACTGTAATTCTTTTGGAAAAAATTAAAATTTAATTTATAAAATTTTAAAAAGGGCTCATCTCTTTTTGTTTTTAGTTTTTAGTTTTTTTTTTTTAATTTTAATTTAATGTTTAAGGTTTACAAAATAATACTATGTATGGTTTAAGATTTTACCCATTTATCTTAAACTAATTGTTATTTTTTACTCTTTTTCATAAATTAAGAATTTGAGGATAATATTTATATTTATTTATAATATTCTTGAAAAATAAATAAAAAATAAAGAACAACTTTTGGGACTAGATGATTAATTAAAGTAAATAGATATAATAGGGTTAAGATAAGGAAAAAAATAATTGTCTACCTTAAAAAATTAAAAAAAAAGGTCAATTGATTTGATATAAATTCAAAGAAAAAAAAAAAGATAGTTACCTTGAGATAATGGGAGTAGCCTTTTTAGGCTTTAATATTTGGTATTTAGGGATTAGAATTCAAGAGTTTTAGGGTTTAGAAATTAATTATTAAAGCTGAGGGTTTAATATTTAAAATTAGAGTTTAGAATTTGATATTTATATTTTAAAATTTAGGATTTAGAGTTTTATAATTCAATACTTAAGATTAGAGTTCAGTGTTTAGAGTAAGGATTTAGGGTTTAATATTTAATAATTGGATTTGTCTAACCTATGCTCTAAGACTTATTAATTAAGGAATCTTTAATTAATTTCACATGTCATATTCATAATTTTTTTATAAATTTCAAGTATAAATATTATATTGTACTTTATTTTTATTTTTATATTATATTTTATTTGAATCTTACATGAAATTTTGTACAAAATTAATTATAAACTAATTTTTTTTGCCCGTGCATTGCACGGGTGTGGTTTTATTTATTTATTTATCTTTATTTTTTTTTTATCTGTTGACTATATTTATAAAGTATCAATGATATAACAAAGAGGTAATGAATATTTATAAGAAGAAATTTGAATATCTTGCCATCCTTTATTCCTATTATTCAATAATATCATGTGGTAATTAGGGGTGGTAATTTCCCCTGATCCCCGTGCGGCCTTGCGGGGATCCTCGTCACGGGGATGGGGCGGAGAGGAATAGTCCTCCCCGTGGTGCGGGGATGAGGGGAATTTTCTCCCCGTAAAATTTTGTGGGAAATTTTTCCCACCCCGAGGGGCGTCACGAGGATCCCCATCCCAATAAAATATTAAAAAAATGAATATTTTAAATTTAATTTAACATTTAAAATAAAATCCAAACCTAACCTAAACCTAATTCAATAAAAATTAAATTTTACCCAACCCAACCCATCATCCTCCTCCAACCCTAATTTCCTAACCTTATTATTTCCCTTTCTCCTCACTCACGCAGCAATGCAGCCACAGCCCTCACTTCAGCCCCTCACTCACTCTCGGTCTCGGTTAGATAATCAAACTCTCACCTTACCTTTGACCTTCCCCTCCCCTTCTTGCTTCTACAATTTCTCCTCACTCACTCTCACGATCTCACCTTCAATTTTTCCTTTTTGTTGATTTAATTATTTATGTTAAATTAATTTTTATTTATGTTTGATGCAAAAAATATATACTTTGGTATCAATTGACGGGGAATGGGGATGGGGGGCAAAATTTGCCCCTCGTAAAATATCCCCGCAGGGATCCCCGTCCCCACCGTTCGCAGGGATGGGGACGGGGACGGAGAGGGACTCTCCAACTCCGCGGAACCCCGTTGACATACCTAGTGGTAATGCATTAAAAGCTTCTTATTATTCAGTAGGTACTTGTGGGAAATCATTCAAAGCTTCTTAATAAACACTGTTTTTTGTATAGCCTTCAT